GTCGACGTTGTGAGAAAATCACGACGTCGGGGGTCTGGGAAGCAGTGGCCCCCTGGGCCCACAGAGGGGGGCCGCTCCCTGGGACCCGGGTCGGGGAGCCCACCCGTGGTCGAAGCCCGCAACACGTCCAGGAGTGCCCCCTCTGCTCCTTGCGCCCGCCTCGCCAGCCGCTCCCCCCCCCCACGCTGCCCCCATCCGGGGGGCTCGTATAGGGGGAGGGCTGTCCCGAGGTGGGGCTGGGGAGAGGGCAACAAAAACGGCAAACCGGAACCGGTAACAAAAACGGCCCTGTCGTTTCCAGGGCCCACGAAGTTCCCGGCCCTGCGACGCTCCTCATCCAAGGCCCTCGCCGTACAGTCGAGGCGTCGAGGCGCTGAAGCAGTGGCCCGTAGGGGGAGGGCTGTCCCGAGGTGGGGCTGGGGAGCGGGCCCGGCTGACTGCTCCCTGCCCCCGTTTGACGCGTTGCCTTCTGCCGGGGGCCCTTCGGAGCGAGTCTCCTTCCAGCCCCACCTCCGCCCCAACCCCACCTGTGTGTTAAGTCGGGCCTGTCCCTCTACACAGGTCCGGGGACGATTTTCTTGAGTTTTGTTCAACCATGCTTGATTATTTTTGGGGGGGAATGTGTGACTATGTTTGATTTTTAGCTTAAAATCCTCCTGTAGGGGGACGTGCCCCCCCCCCGACCCGTTGAGGTCGGGCAGCTGGGCCGCAGGCTGGAGGCCGAGCGGCCGCGGGCGGTCGCCGCGCAGGCCGCCGCCGCGCCCCGGCTCTCCCGGCGGCCTGGCACGGGCCGCCTACGATTCGAAGAAGGAGAAAAAGACGCCACAAGCATAAGCCTCCTCCTGCTCCTCCTCCTCCTCCTCCTCCTCCTCCTCCTCCTCCTCCTCTTCTTCCTTCTCCTCCTCCTCCTCCTCCTCCTCCTCCTCCTCCTCCTCCTCCTCCTCCTCCTCCTCCACCTCCGCTCCTCCACCTCCTCCTCCTCCTCCGCCTCCCCTCCTCCTCCGCTTCTTCCTTCTCCTCCTCCTCCTCCTCCTCCTCCTCCTCCTCCTCCTCCTCCTCCTCCTCCTCCTCTCCTCCTCCTCCTCCTCCTCCTCCTCCTCCTCCTCCTCCTCCTCCTCCTCCTCCTCCCTCCTCCTCCTCCTCCTCCTCCTCCCTCCTCCCCCCCCCCCTCCCCTCCCCTCCCCTTGTGGCGCCCCGCGCGGGGCGCCAAAAGTTTACGTTTGTGCCGTCGTTTGCTTCTTCTGTCGATCGATTCGCCCGCTGGGGCCGCGATTCCGATCCGATGCGATCCGGCTCTACTCACCAGCGTCGGCCGGCGATGCGATACCGATCCGATTCGAGACGGTGCGCTGGCGATTCGATCCGCTCTCGATCCGATCCGATTCGGGACGGTTCGCTGGCGAGTCGATCCGCTCTCGATCCGATCCGACTTCGCGCTCCGATCCTGCGCAGACCTGCCTGGCCCGGGGGTTCCCGTCATCTGCGCGCAGGAGTCGCTGTCTCCCAGGTGGGGCCTTGGCCTCCTGAGAGGCCTCCCGGAGCCTGCCCCGAAGACGCACCGGCGGCTCCTCAGGAGGCGCGAGGGAGTCTGAGAAGCCCCCCGCCGCCGTCAGAGGAGGCTCGGGAGGGCAGGAAACACACAGACACAAGTAATCGTCGACTCCCAGGAAAATATGGGAAGATATGGGAAGTGGGGGGGGAGACAAAAGCCCAGAAAATATGGGGAAATATGGGGAATCCTGTCATTTGTGTGTATTTATTTGTGTGTCCCAGGGCCCCTTCAGAGGCCTTCTCCTTCCCCCCTCCCCCCCCTCGCTCGCCGCCGACCAGAGGTCTAGGTCTGTGCCGCGCTGGGCCACCGAGGGCTGGCCGGCACGCGCGCCGCCCCATCGCGGGCCCGCGCTCTGGGCGGGCCCTCTGCCCTGGGCACCGTGGTGTCCCAGCCTACCTCGGCCACGCGAAGAGGGGGGCAGGGGGAGGGGGTATGCTTCTTAGAATCAGGGGAGCGTAAGACCCGGGTTTGCCGGGACTCGGGTTCGCCATCGTTTTTTGACGACTGCGCCTCGGATTTTGACGAGGAGGAGTTTCGTGGGATGTCTGCAGCGGGAGGCCTCGTCAAAATGCAGGCTCGGCCTCGTCATTTTTTTGACGACCTCGTCGGGGATTTCCGAGTCCCCTGTACCCGGGTCTTACGTCCCCCCGATAGAAGCACTCTAGCGCCCTAGAAGGCGCGGGCCTGGTCTGTAGAAGTAAGGCCCGCGCCCTCTAAGAAGCAGCCTCCCTCTAAGACGCTTCTAAGGAGGCTTCCCCCTCCCCCTACCCCCTTGTGCGCGCCGCCAACCTCCTCCTGGCGGTCGCTGTGGGAGCTTCTGGCTCCTGGCTCCACCTCGCGCTCCATCACCGATGCATCGGCGATGGCGGCGCGATGTGGGGCCCGATGTTGTACACGCCGACGGCGACGATGCATCGCCTACGTCGCCGATGCATCACCCAGGGCTTCCCAGCAACTCGGTACGATCGAAATGGGTACGGAAAGAGTGGGCACAAAGGCCGACGCCAGTTCCCATCCATTTTGAACAGCACTCGTTGTCGGCGTCGCCGCTGGCGTTCTCCATTCGACACAGGAGGCCGCCTGCCCCACAGCGGCCGCTGCCAGTTTTGGACAGCAGCTGATGCTGGGTATCGTACCTATTCTTTCCATTCGCCCATGTCGGGCGTCCGAATCAACTGCACCGACGACGGCGACGACGACTGAGTATACACCGATCCTGTTCCCTGGGTGGGCCCTGCGGGCAATAGTTATATCCACATCCAGTGCGTCTTTGGTTCTTGGGCTGTCTTCCCCAGAAACCGTAGACGCACTGGATATGGATAAAAATCTGGCCCCCAAGAGGCTTGATTTTATCCATATCCAGTGCGCCTCGGCGTTGCGGCACCTCTTCCCAAAAAGTCCACGACGCTCTGGATATGGATAGAAGTACTGCCCGCAGGCCCAGCCAGGATCGGTGCACGTGCAGACCCTGGCGCTCTCCCACGAGCGGCCGCGGCCGCGGCCCTCTCTTCGTCGCGCCCTCTCGGCGCCCCTTTTCGGCGGAGGCGGTGGCCGCGCACACCGCAGGAATATTCGTCCTCTGGCGCGCGTGCGGAGCCTAGCATTTAGCGATCTGGTGTCGCTGAATTATCCTGGCATCGCTCGGACGTGTGCATTTTTCCTTCGGCGAGGGCCATCGAGGAGCATCCCTGATCATTTGGGGAAAAATCCACGCACGAAACCGAAAAGAAAACACAGGGAATGGACGTCCGAGCGATGGCCAGCAGATGGGGTCCGAGTGCCCATGGGTCGTTGAAAGCAGGCATGTGTGGACTCCCAGATTCCAGTCTGCTTTGAGCGCGCCCCTACTTCAATGCTCGAGTCCTCCTGAGGGGGCGGGCAGACACCCAATCTGCTCTCAACGCCTTCCTACTTCATGTTTCTACCTACTTCTTCCGACCGATGGGCAGGTGGGGTCGGAGGATCACGCCGCATCGTCGATGCCTTGCCGATGCATTGTCGATGTGGCTCGATGTAGAGTGCCATTTTCTCCGCGCCGACGTCGCCGATGCATCGCCGATGCGTTGGCGATGCATAGGCGATGCGGCGCGATCCTCCGACCCCATCTACATGGACCCCATCTGGCAGGCTGCTGTGAATGCGATGCGGTAGCCGCGGCTTGCGCGCTCGGGTTCAGACACCCCCGCCCCCCCCCGACGCCGCGCAGCAAACGTCACTCTTGCCTGAGGTCCGCTCTTGCATGTAGCCGGCCCCACACCTCCAGCGCATTGGGAAGCTGAATGCAGTGGGCACGTGCCAAAGAAGAGACCGACTTGCCAGCAGGTGCCCACGGAGACTTCTGATTCCCCAGTGGTCCTGGGGACGCACAGGTGACGTGGCACGCTTCAAGGAAGTCGAGAGATGTCTTATCGCCGGGCTCCTCACCACGTGCTTCCCTGACCTTCCAGGAGGGCTAAAAAAAAGCACGCGACTTAAAAACCTATCCCAGAGCTATTCTACGTCTTGGTTTTAGGCTGTTTCGATTAGTTTGTTAGGTTGTTACCCCTCCCGTGCTAAAAAATAGCTCTCTGGAAGGTCAGGGTTCTGCTGCGCGGAAGTCGTTCGCACTCTCCAGCCCTCGGGGGGCCCTCGCCCGGTCCTGGGGCCTTCAAAGAGCTGCTCGGGAGGACGTGCCTGCCCCTCTGGGGGAGGACAGGGCCTGGACTCCCGGACTTCTCTGGGACCCCTCGTGCCGAACAGCCCCCGGCGTCGCATGTCGCGGGTCGGCGCAGCCTGAGGTCACGAGCGGCCTCCGCTCGCAGCCAGATGCGGCGGGGCCGGGCACCCCGGGCTTCCCATCCTTTGCCGCTGGCCCGCCCTCGAGCTTCCGCAGCCAGCGGCCCCTGACATCGACCTCGGGCATCCCGCCCCCCACGCCGCCCACCACGCAGCCCTTCTCGCTGTCGCCGAGCTCGTCGCCGAGCGTGCTCGGCTCGCAGCGCACCTCGGGGACGCGGCAGAGCCTGCCCCTGCCCGGCGCCTGGCCGGGATCCGGCGCGTGGCCCGCCAGGGAGCTGCAGGCGGGGGGCCCGCCCTCCCCGCAGCCGCTGGCTCTGGCGGCGCCCCCCGCCGGCTCCGCCGCCTCCCTGGCAGGCTTTGGGCTCCGCGGGGCGGACCCTGCCGCCCACGAGGGCGTGGGGACCAGCAGGCCTGCCAGCGGCGTGGCGCCCGCGGGCCCCTCGGCAGGCGCAGCCTCCGCGCTGCCGCCGCCGCCTGCGGCGGGCGGCCCCGCGGGCGCGACGCAGCTGCTGACGCTCGCGGGGCGCGCGCCGCCGCCCTTCGGCACGGCCCCCGCCGCCGCGGACTGGGCGGCGCAGGCGACGCGGGAGCAGCTCGCGGCCGCGTCGCGGCCCTCCTCCCGGCGGAGCCTGCCGGAGACCGGGCCGCCGGGGCCCGCGGGCGCCCCGGCGTCGGCGCCCTCCCTGCCAGGTGCTGCCTGCAGCCCGGCCTCGGTGCCGCCCTCGGCGCGGGAGGCCGCCCTGCCGCCGACGCCGCCTGCGCCGCCGCCCGCGGGCACGCAGTGGCCGCAGCATGGGCACGCACCCGCCCCGGACTCGTCGGAGACGCTGCCACCGCCGCCAGCGCATCCAGGCCCACACACGCAAGGGCAGGGCTGGCCCATGCAGCCGCCGGAGCAGGGCCCAGCGGTGGAGACGGTGTGGCAGGGCAAGCCCATGCCGCCAACGTCGCAAGGCCCAGAGATCCACACGCAGTGGCCGGGCCCGCCTCTGCCGCCTCCAGCACAGGGACCTGTGGCGGACACGCAGTGGCAGAACAACCCCATGCCGCCACGCTCATTGAAGAGTCCTGCAGTGGGTACACAGTGGCAGGGCACGCCTTTGCCGCCGCCGCAAGCTCAAACGGTGGATACTCAGTGGCAGGGCCCTGCTTTGCCACCTCCAGCAAAGGCAGCTTCGGTGGACACGCAGTGGCAGAGCCAGCCTATGCCGCCACCACCAATACTGAATCCTGCCGTGTCCACGCAGTGGCAGGGCACGCCTTTGCCGCCGGCGCAAGCTCCGGCGGTGGAGACCCAGTGGCAGGGCCCGCCCCTGCCGCCTCCAGCGCAGGCAGCTCCAGTGGACACGCAGTGGCAGAGCCAGCCCATGCCGCCACCACCATTGTTGAATCCTGCAGGGGATACACAGTGGCAGGGCCCGCCCTTGCCGCCTCCAGCACAGGCGCCCACTGTGAATACTCAGTGGCAGAGCTACGTGCCAGGACAAGCAAAAGGTGTCCCGATGGAGACACACCAGTCGCAGCAAACCTCATATCGAGCAGTACCTGGAACAGCCATGCCTGCGCCGATCGCGTCTCACGAGACCGATCCCCCGCTGCCGTGCCTGGAGCAGCGATTGGCTGCTCTAGAGCAGCAGTACCCGAGTGCAGGATGGTAGGGCTTCGGGTGGCGCACAGCCTGCCCTCCAGGTAGTCGCAGCTGGGCTCCGCACAGGCCCCCCGAGCAGCCGGGGGCGGGAATCCACACTCCAACCTCGGAGCGCGCCGCGCCCCAGGGGCGCCGCCGCAGACGGCGCGCAGGGATGCTGAGACCGCCCTGGACTACTCGGGGGGACTGGTGAGGCCAGCCGGGACTACCTACAGGGGGGGGCAGTCTGCGCGCCACCTGCCCTACGGTCGGGGCCTTGCAGAAGGAACGCTTTTTGTTGGGGAGGGGCTCCGCGTTCCTTGATTGTTTCACAGCTTGCCTTAGGTTTTCCTCTGGTTTTCGATGGGAAATCGAATTCTAACTGATGGGAAAAAGGGGCCTCGTCCCTTATTTAGGGTTCCCTAGGTCAACGCCCCGACTGTACCGTGCAGGATCGGCAGCCGCAGCTCCGAGGCCGCACCGGGTGTGGTCTCCGGCTGCCGTGGCGGCCGCGGAGGCGGTGCTCGCCGCGGAGGCCGTGCAGGCCGCGGCCAACAGGGCCGCGCAGCGGTGGTCTCCGCGGGCCACCGCGGCGGCGGAGGCCGTGGCGGCGGCGGAGCTGGCCGAGCGCAGGGCCGCGGACGAGCAGCTGCGAGACTGGACGCCGCCTCCTCCTCCTCCTCCTCCTCCCTCCTCCCCTCCTCCCCCCCCCCCCCCTCCCCCTCCCCCTCCTCCTCCTCCCCCCCCCCTCCCCCCTCCTCCCCCCCCTCCTCCTCCTCCTCCTCCTCCTCCTCCCTCCTCCTCCTCCCTCCTCCTCCTCCTCTCCTCCTCCTCCTCCCCCTGCTCCTCCTCCGCCTCCTCCTCCTCCTCCTCCTCCTCCTCGGGTGGGTCGGGGGCAACGTTAGGGGGGATAGGCTCACGGGGGGGGGAGCGCATCGACCCCCAATCGCCCATTCATCGCCGATGGTGGCCCGAGGGCCCACCCCGCCCAGGCGCATGGGGTTTCGCTATCGGAGGCCCATCTGCCGATTCCAATTCAATGTTTCACCCCGTGACACTGTCCCCCCCTGACGTTTCCCAGTGGGGGGTGGGGGCAGAGTCATCGGCAGGGATGGACCAGCAGCCTCGCCCAGCCTCGCCGTTGTAGGGCGGTGTCGCCCACAGACCGGATGGTTCCAAAGGGGAGCGAGGGAGTCTTTGTGCGCTTCACCCTCTTTCCAGCCCGCGGAGAAGGGGTCTAACTTGGGTGGTCGGCCCAACCCACTCTGCTCCAACCCCTGTGGAACCCTCCAGACCACATGCCTCGTCGAAATGCGAGCCCTGCAGCGTCTCGGAATTTTGAGGGGACCTCGCTAGCGACAGCCCCTCCCCGCAAAAGGCAATGTGTTGACAAGGTCCCCGCGCGAAGGTAACTTCCTATGGCGCGTCGCGACCCGAGCAAGCATGCTGCCGTGCTCCACGGGGTGGCGCGAGGGCTCGAAGATTCAGGAGCGAAGCAATGACGTACAGTGGAGGCCCATGCCAAGAAGCACCCTGTTTGCCTCCAGGGTGCCCTGGGTTTCTTGGGTTTCGATGGTTTTGCTAGGGAAGTTTCCTGTGGACTGGCCTCCACTGTACATGAATTCACATAGGTGTCGAGAGAGCACATTACGCGAGCGTTCGTGACACGAGGGCGGCCTCGCGAACTGGGGGGCGGGGGCATAGTCATGTACGCGGCCTGGCGTATACGTGCGCCTTGGCGTGGCGCGATGCTCGAAACCAGGTGGCCTTTATGCATGAGCAGAGTTTGGGGTGTGGCCAGGGCGGGGGCGTCGCTTCAGAAGCAGGACGGGGCCGCCGTGTTCCCGGTCCGCAATGCTGCCTGCCACCCACCGAAGTGGAGCGCCCTTCGATGTTTTTTCTGCTTCTGCAACCTTGGAGGAGTCCCTTCGTGGAGCCTCCGCAGCACGGCGGGCCCTTCGGCGATCGATTCTGCACCGACCCCATTCATGGATGCTACGTTGAGGAGTGCTTTGTCGACAAGGAGAGGGTCCGCCATCGCGAGGTGGACATTGTTCATCGCAGGAGGGTCGTGGAGGAGGACTTGCCTTTCATTGCATGGCTCGCCGGGATCAGCAAGAGCACGGTCGCTGCCCAGGGCGATGTGATCCGCAATCGCGCATGGAGGGAGCTCTACGAGCTGAGGCAGGTAGAGGCGCACCAGTGGACAGTTGGAGCACAGTAAAGCCAGCGGTCGCAGAGATGATGGCCCGCGCGCGTGGTGGAGTGGCAGGCGTGTTTTTTCATCAGGGGCAACCTTATGTGGGGATTGCCTCAGGGGGGAACGCATCGACCCCTAATCGCCCACAGATCGCCGATATGGGCCCGATACCCCACCCCGCCCAGGTTTGCTCGGTTGTGCTAATTATCGGGGGCCCATGGCCGATCTATCTGCGATGCATCGTCGATTCCAGATCGATGTTCCCCCCCCTTGGCCAGTCCCCCATCTCACCTCATCGGGAATGTCGCAGTTAGGTCGTTGGAAACTGGTCCACGACAAGGTTCCGTTTGGACGCGGAACTTCCATCTTGTTCCGTTGTTTGCTCAGTCTGGAGCATGCCACCGCGATGAATTGTCTTATGCAGCTCTATCTTGCGCGCTGCAGTGAATTGTCTAGTGCAACTCCACCTGGCTTGCTGCAGTGTTCTGAAGCCCACTTGCGCACTCCCAATTCGGAGTCCAACTGCTCTGCGGCGCCCGACATGCATCTCCTCGATATGTGGCCACTGTGCCCGTACACGCCCTAGCCCAGCTTCTTTCTGAGAAGCATTGCCGCGTTGATCGCAAAGGGTGATGCCAACAAACAAATGTTCGGTGTTTGCGTGGTTGTCGGTCGATCCTACTATAACATGACTGCCTTACGCACATATGTGAGTTTGATGCGTGCTTCTCGCGGTCCCTGCTTGAGACTGTCATCGCCTGATCGAGCGTGCCCTCCATGCATACATTGCCTGGAGGTACCGCGAAGTTGTGAAATTCACTGTGGTCGGGAAGTCGGTAGCACTGGTTCGATACGCACGCTTTTCTTGCCAATACCACGATAACGACGATTCTTGGCAATAACTCACCCCGTTCGGCGGAGGGGGGGGGAGAAGGGGGCGGAGCAGACGGAGGACGAGGAGCTCCAGAAGCAGGAGGTGGCGGATCAGATGGATGAGCTGGACAGTTTTGGTTCTGCCCTGGATCCTGATCCCCTAAGGTCTCTGGAAGCTCTAGAGGTATTTACAGGCTTTCGAAGCCACCCCAAAGCAATTAGCCTGGCGAAGGACCCAACCATACGCAGCTGCGAGGCGGACGAACAAACTGCGAGTAGCGTGGGACATAGCCTCTGCCGTCATAGGCAGCGCGCCGCAGGAAGGACGAAGCGCAGGGCAGCGCGGGCAGGTGGCAGCGGGTGGCGGGAGGGGGCACAGAACGGGCGGGGGCACAGATGCCAGGGGTCTTCGGCGGAGCTCCTTCTGGGGCCATGAAGCGTGGGAAAGGTGTGCCGAAGTAGCCAGGGGAACGCGAACCCTGTCGCATGGGTCTTCGGTGGAGCTTCCCATGGGGCCACGAAGCGTGTGAGAGGTGTGCCGACATGGGTCTGGGGACGCACGTGAACCCCGCCACCTGGGGACACTGGTGGGCCCCGAAGCGTGTGAGGAGGGCCCTGGACGATGTGAACCCTGTCACTGGGGCCAGCGGTGGGTCACGAAGCGTGTGACGGGTGTGCCGGAATGGGCCTGGGACCGCATGTGACTTTCTCTATTGGGGCCTTCGCAGGAGCTCTCTGTTGTTTGGGCCACGAAGCGTGTGAGGGGTGTGTCGAAATGGGCCTGGGGACGCATGTGAGCCCTGTCACTGGGGCCAGCGGTGGCAACCTCTTGGGCCACAAATCGTGTAGGGGATGTGCCTGAATGGGGGATGGACGCGCATGTGAACCCTGCCACTGGGGCCATCGGTCGCGCTGCCTATTGGGTCACTAAGCGTTTGAGGTGTGTGCCGACATGGGCCTAGGAACGCATGTGACCCGTGCCATTGGGGCCAGCGGTGGCGCTCCTTCATGGGCCGCGAAGCGTCTGCGGGGTGTGCCGAAATGTTCCTGGGAACGCATGCGAACCCTGCCACGGGGACTTTCGGTGGAGCTCGCTATGGGGCCAGCCGACGTGCGCCTGGGGACGCATGCCAACCCTGCCACTGGGGCCTCCGGTGGAGCTCTTCATGGGGCCACGAAGCGTGACGGTGCGCCGAAATGGAAATGGGGACGCATGTGACACTTTCCACTGGGAATTTTGTCGGGCTCTGTGTTGGGCCGCGAAGCGTATGAGAGAAACGCCGCAATGTGCCTGGAGACGCATGTGAAGCCTGCCGGTTGGGCCGTCGGTCGCGCTACCTATTGGGTCACTGAGCGTTTGAGGGGGGTGCCGACATGGGCCTGGGGACGCATGCGAACCCTGCTACTGGGGCCTTGGGGAGACGAAGCGTATGAGGGGCGTGCCGGAATGGGCCTGGGGACGAACGTGAACCCTGCCACTGAGGCCTTTGGTGGAGCTCCCTCGTGGGCCGCGAAGCGTGAACCCTGCCTCTGGGGCCTTCGTTGGAGCTCCCCATGGGGCCACGAAGCATGTGGGGTGTGTGCCGAAATGGGCCTGGGGACGCATGTGAAACGTGCCACTGGGGCCTTCGGTGGAGCTCCCCAGGGATCCTCGAAGCGTGTGACGGGTGTGCTGACGTTTGCCTGGGGACGCATGTGGACCCTGCCTCTGGAGCCTTCGGTGTAGCTCTTCATGGGGCCGCGAAGCGTGTGAGGGGTGTGCCGAAATGGGCCTGGGGACGCATGTACACCTTGCCACTGGGGCCATTGGTCGCGCCCCCTCTTGGGCCACGAAGCGTATGAGCGGTGTGCCGACATGGGCCTGGGGACGCATGTGAACCCTGCCACGGGGGCCTCTGGTGGACCTCCCCATGGGGCCACGAAGAGTCTGACGGGTGTGCTGGCATGCCTGGGGGCGCATGATGTGAACCCTGCCACCTGGGGCCTTCGGTGGAACTCCCTGTGGGGCCACGATGCGTGTGAGTGGTTAGACCAGGGGACGCATATGAACCCTGCCGCTGGAGCCTTCGGTAGAGCTCCCTAAGAGGCCACGGCGATGATGCAGGTATGCGGAGAGCAACATGGATGATTATGCTGATGTTGCTGCTGCTGGTTATGACTATGATGATGGCGATGATGATGCGGATGATGAGCATGATGACTATGATGGTGATGACGATGATGATGAGGATGATGATGGTAATGATGATGATGACGATGATGATGATGATGATGATGAGGATGCGGATGAGGGTGATGATGATGATGATGCTGATAATGGTGCTGATGATGTTGGTGGTGGTGATGAAGATACTTATGATGATGATCATGATGATGTTGATGCTGATGACCATGAGTATGAACGCGATGATGATGACTATTCTGAAGCTGATGTTAATGATGACGATGATGCTGATGATGATGTTGCTGCTGCTGCTGCTGATGATGATGATGATGATGATGATGATGATGATGATGATGATGATACGCAGCTTTTGAAGAATAATCGCAGAGCGCAGGAGAGCCGCGCGGATGCATCCTGGCGGGCTGACAGGCGGTGGACAGAAAGTCCCCCAAGTCATCCCGAACTTTCCGCAACCACGTCGGCTCAAGCCTTTTTCATAAGAGGCCGCGCGCTCGCCGAGCTCGCCCGCGTCCTGGATGCGCCCGGGCGCCAGCGGCGCGGCGCTGTTGGCTTTCCACGTGGGCTCCGCCTAGCTGAGCCACTGGTGGGGCGCCCACCGCCATGCGGGCCCGCCGGCTGCGCCGCCAGCACTTTCGGTGCCGTTTGCCGCGGTTCCCGCGCCAGCTCCGCCGCCGCGGAGTTGCCCGGCGGCCTGGCCGCCGACGTCCGCGGTGGCCTCGGAGCTGCGCGTGGAGTTGGAGCGGTGCCTGCCCTCTGTGGCGCCGGCGCCTGTGGTGGCCTGCCCCGACCCTTGCCCGGCGTGACCCGAGCCGGTCAAGAACGAGCTCGATCTTGTGAGGTTTCGAGGTTTCGTTCGGTTTCGTGACGTTGCTGCTCTGGGAGTTGGTCTACCGCTGGTGCGGCCAGACTCGCAGGAAGGACCCTGCGGTGGAGCCGGCGGCTGAGCGGCTGCTGGGGTGTACGGCGGCGGCCGGCGGGTGCCAGGTGGTCGCGGGCGTCTGACGCCTGCCCTCAAACTATAAACCGTGGCGATGAGGCCCACGTCGAATACGACCTGCCACGCGCCCCTCCGCTCCACGCGCGTGTCGTCATGGGCGTTTCTTGGTTCGCGCCGTTTCACGTGGCGGTGGTCTCGACCGATCACGACCTCTTTATCGAGTGGTCTAGCGACGACAACGATGACACTCGCCACTGGTACCGCGTCGAGCCTGCCTGGGCGGGTGCTCATCCGCGAGGACGGCGACACCGCGCTGCCAGTCGGAGGCGCTGGGCTCGCGGTCTACGACTTCGCGGCGCCGCTCACGCCCGCCGAGTTGCACGGCTTCGCGCAGCAAGCGCTTCCGCTTCTGGCAGCCCAAGATGCTGCTCTTGGTGTCGCTGCTGGGCGGGCTGCGGCAAGGGACGCAGCGCCGTGGTGGCCGCAGGCGGTGTCGGGCCCGCGGCTGGGGGCGCTCTTGTCCCAGAAGATGGAGGAGGTGGAGGCTGGCTGGCTGTCGCACGAGGAGCTGCTGGAGGGCTGGCGGCGCTGCTGGCTGGAGGAGGCGGCGCAGGCGCTGCTGGGGCGGCCGCGGGAAGAGCTGTTGTCGGAGGCGTTGCCCCAGGCGCTGGAGGGCCTCCCGGGGCCTCGGCAAGCCCCGCAGCCGCTGCGGCTGCCGCCGGAGGCGGCGCTGGCGGAGGCCTGGCGCCTGCCACCCCCAGTCCTAGGGGCCACCGCGAGCGGCGCACCGGCGGCCGGCGCCGCGTGCGCGCCCGCAGCCGCCGCTGCCACCGACGGCGCAGCTGCGCTGGCTGCCGCGCTGGCCAGAGGAGCATGACCTGCTCGTGCCGCTGGTTCTGATGGAGGCAGAGATGGTGGCTCTGGCGATTGCAGGGCGCTCTCGGTGCAGTACGACATCACTTGCAAGCGCCATCGCTCCTTCGCGTCGGCGGGGGCTGCGAGCCGTGGACTGGACTGGTTCGTGCCGGGACCCCGCGCGGCGCACTGGGTGGCGGCGCTCATGCTCGAGAATGGTGGCAGCGCTCTCGGCCATGCCATCGCGACGCCCAGTGGAGGTCTGTCATCCGCCTGGGCCTGGACGACGTGATGGCCTCGAACCACCGCGAGTTTTCGAAGATCTTCGGGACGGCGTTTTGCTGCGACCAGTTGGGCGTCCCGAACTTGAGAACCCTTGAACTGGTGGCCCGACAGCTTCAACTCTTCGAAGAGCGCCATCGCGATCGAGGACTGGGCGCTCGCGGGGACGTTGCCAGCCACCGCGTGGAGGAACATTACTTCACGGGCATGGCTACTACTCGCGGGCCAATGGCGCCCGCGCTCTCGACCTGGATGAGCGAGCAGATCGCGCGGGGGAGCGCGGCGGCCAAGGAGAGGCGCAATGCGCGGGAGGAGAGGCAGCTCGCCAAGCCCCAAAGAGTAAGCGAAGGGCGCCAATGGCGAGGAGGGCGGCTAGCACCTGCGCGACTTGGGTCGCCTGCCGCCCGTGGCCCGGGGCGCGCAGGCAATGGCATTTTCTGCCGCGAGGTGGAGATAAGCCAGCGCGACGTCTTCCTTCTACCTCTTCTTCGCGTGCCCGACGCTGCGGG